TCCATGCTTGCAACTGCAGCCTTGGTTCGGAGCACACAACATGCACACTTTGAGCTGAGCATGTTGTCACACCACACAATACCAACGAATGCTGCTTGAAACACGGGTCAAATTTGAGAGTATTGTCTATGATGAATTACAGTGTTTTTACTGCACAATTTCCCTAATCTCATAGAAACATAATGGTACAATCAGGAAAAAACAGAGATCTTAATATTGTCATTCCTCTGCATCTGTTCCAGATTTGTATCTCTATGTATATTTACTGTATTAAAAAAATCTGATCTTTAAAAAGATTGAATTGACAGCTGGAGTTTCATAGTCTATATGATGATGAATTTTGCCTTAGGGTTAGGATGGAATTTCCAACAACTTTTGAAATAGCTCTTACACACTTCTTCCATTTTGTACTATATATTGATTTGAAGCAATAATCTCAATGTTGACAGTTATAGTATCTCTGAAAAACACTGAGCATGCTCTCTGCCCTGTGGTATCAAATAGACAACAGAGATTTAATTATGTAAAAACAAACAAACAAAGCCAAGCATGGTGATGCACAGTTTTATTCCCAGCACTTGGAAGACAGAGGCAAAGGGGCCTCTGTGAGTTTGAGGCAAGCCTGGTCTACAGTGTGACTTCTAGGCCAGCCAGGACTACATAGTAAAACCCTGTCTGCAAAACAAACAGAGAAACACCCGAACCACAGCACATCTTATCTCATTAGTACACATTTGACTTCATCTTCAATAAATGGTAAAATAAGTGGAAATCATCTTAAAATAACTTCATGATTTATTATCAGTGTTTTGTTTTTTGCCTGTTTTACAGATTATATAATTTGGGTCAGGTGACAATTTCTTGGGAGAAAGGGGGTTGGGGTGGAAGAAGTATAAGGTTCCCTGGTGCCCTTGAGCAAATCAAAAGCTTCCCTTAGCCTCTCTCCTCTGGACTCCTGCATTTGTGTGTTCTGTAGCATGAGGCAACCACTCACTATACAGATGATATTTGTCACACAATTCCAGCCCACCTCCCAACAACACTGAGCAGTTACTAAACATCCCTGAAACTCAACAGCACTTTAAATGTATGACAGGTCACACAAATGCTAACTGAATTCGGTGAGATTTAAAAATCTCTCCTAGTTTTCTACACACACACTGACTCCATTTGGAAGCTTAAAGCCCAATGTCTTCAGCTGAGGAAGAGAAAAATCTCAAGAAAAAGGTTGGTTCCCAAACCAGGCTCCCAGCATGACCTCCGCTGGTGACTAGCCCACCACACTAAAGATTAAAGAGCCTTTCTGTCCAGCGCAGGCTTTAGGGCATCTCTGGTTTGGTTTGTACCTTAAGCAGTAAGACTGCTTGCTCCAAATCCTGAAGGTTAATTTGGAGAGTATCCGACTGCAACCCCTTCCCACTACAACCACTTTTTAAAAAGTATTTCAATTGAAGATGCAAAGTTTGATCTCTTCCATGTTGAGATCTGAGAACAATAGCAGCTTTCGGAGGCAGCGTGACTTCAAAAGGCCACAGAGGGACCGCTCAGAAAATGCTTGGTCGTAATGACTGGAGCAATGCATAGGCATCCTCCTGAGGCTCTGTGACCATTAGCACAGGAAAATCCATTTCTTCCCAGGTCTTTCACTAACCAGGCAGATTTCAGGCAACTGGAAGGTTGGGCCTTGGAGAGACAAGACCAGACCCAGCTGGGAAAACTACAGTGATATAAAAACCAATGTGATTAGAAAGTCGTAAGATGACCCAAATAGTATATGGATTTTTCTTTTTAAATTGAAAGAGAGAAAAAAAAAAAAAGAACATAAAATTGGGTGGGTGGGGAGGTGAGGGATTAGAGGACTGCGGGAGAGGGAAAATATAACTAATATATATTATATGTTTTGTTTTGTTTTTTTGTTTTTTTGTTTTTCAAAAAAGAAAAGGTGACTGTTGGTGCGTTTATGCTTTAGGTAGCTGGATGTAAGAGCTCTCAGAAAGTATCAGGTCAGGCCTGAAACAGCCACACCCCAGAACTGATAAAAACAAAACCAGAGCAGGACCGCCCCTCTGCACCAGTGCGGGTGTGGGTTCATCTTCCCGCCTTTGCTCACCCTCAGGTGTCACCACCCTGGTGACTTCTGCTGCCCGCCCGCCTGCGAAGAAACCGCTGCAAACTTCCCGGTCTAGGAACCCTGCTGCTCAGGGAGCAGTTTGGATTACAGCTCAGCCCCGCCAGCCGCCCGCCCGGAGAGACTAGTATTCAACCTCCCCGCCCCCCGCCGTGGTGAAAGTTTGCTCCCACTTGGGCCGCCCTCCTCTCCACCCCGAGGCGTAAGGAACGCGTAGGAGTTCCCCGGTCCGTGGTGCACAAATACACTCATCAACAAAGGAAAGCCCATTAAATCTTCCCTCCTGCGAACTCGCCCCCGCGGATACCTCTTTGAACTGACCCCCGCCCCGCGCAGACCCAGAGCCGTTTGGGGCGCGCTGGCCCTCCCGGGCTCTCTCCTTTCCACCAGGCAGCCCGCTTTTGCAGCGCGCCTCGTCTTTGAAGTCTCTTTACATTACCGTGCGTACAGCAGCCACGCGCTCTTGCCCCACGCGGGGGCTTTGTGTAACGGAACTGACATTTGGCCTTGATACCTGTATCTCTTGGTGATTGCAACAAATTTCTACAATAAATATTGTGCTTTGATCTCCCTGCACTGCATTTTTAATGGACACTCCAAACATTCCTTCATTAGGAAGGTATCTTTCTTTCTTCCTTTCTTTCTTCCTTTCTTTCGTTCTGGAGCTCCAAGCGAAGTTCTTCGAAGTCTCTTTCCAAACTCTAGCTTGGCTCTGGGAGGGCTGGAACTTTTTCAACAAATTAGGGAGTGAGCAGACTATGGCGCTCCAAAGCGTACTGTGCGCCTAGCACAGTTATACAGACTTTGTACTTACTCTTTTGGACCCACAAACACTGTACACAGGCAGCACATTTTACAGATGGACAAGCAGAGGCATACTTACCAAGACTCTCAGTGACAAGGCAGAAAAACCCTGGCGTCAGCGTTTGAGCGCTTAACAGCCCTGCTTGGCGCCCAATGGAAGGGTAATAGCCTAAAAAATTAGAGGGAAGAGTTAACTCTTGTAACTACGGAGGTGTAAATTAACTCATCTTGCCTTTTTGGTAAAATAGCTAACATGTCTGGTCATAGAAGATGCTTCCAGCTTGCTTTCCCGCCTTCCAGAAAAGACGGATTGGAAAGGCTCAGAAGGGGGGGGGGGGAGGGAGATGACAGCCTTCCAGGTTTCCCTGGCCAAGCTCCCTGACTTCAGATGCACACGTGGGAAATGCCTCCTTCTAGTCCCAGGTTTCTCTGGGGCTGGGCCCTTGCAATTCGATACTGCAAGTTGGAGCAGATCGGCCCCAGGGAAAACCAGAGTCATCTCCCCTTCTCGCTTGCCCAGCACCCCACATTCGTGTTCACTAGGAGTGAAGCCGCGTGGGTTGAGCTGCGAGGTTGCTGTTCTCTGGTCCACGAGTGCCACCTCATTGGGGAGACGGAAGGGATGCTAGTATGAAGAGTATGAGGCCTGTTAGTCATCTCCATTTCGAGGGCATCTGGAGTGTGGGAGAATATGGGCCTTCTTAATGGCATACTATCAGGACCCCTGATGGACGTGTGAAAGGCACCGATATGCAGAGTCTGAAGCAGTAGGATTTCTGCTAACCTCTAGGAATAATTTGGGAGTTAGGCTAATGGGTCCTGGAGCATCAGTCCTGATCGCATGGTGGTCCCTGCACAGCGCATAAACACCCCACGCAAGCTGAGTTGGTTCGTGGCTTCTGGAGAAGCTGGCAGCCTTGGAGATTGAAGATCCCGGAGGCAGAAAGGCCAGAGAAAAACCAGGCTAAGTCAACCTCACTTCTCTGTGCAGTCAGTCACCTAAACCGCCATATTGACAAGTCTCTGAAGGGACTCCTGACCACCAAAGCAAAGAAGGCCCCCTGTCGCCCTGCCAGCCTCTAGGGAAGGGTCCTGGACCGAAGGCGGGCAGAAGGCCTACTGACCTTGGGGACCAGATATTCCAAGGAAGTTTTGAAGGGGACACACCCTAGAGAGAACTTCTGTGCCTGAGACAAAGCATTCCTGAGGATGAACTTCTTTCCAGCGATGGCAGGAACAAGACTTTACTTTGACTTTTCTTCCCTCTCCAGGGACCTCCTCCCAGTGATCTGCGGGTTCTTAAACCACGGGGATGGGATGAGGTGGAGTGGGGGAAAAGGGACTATGGAGAAGCTCCCAAACCTTGCTGTCCAGCGTGTGGCATCGCATGCGCCCTTGATGGTACTAATAGAGGTTACTAGCATCTCTGTAGAGTCTCGATGGAGCCTAACAAGTGGGAGGCTTGCCCGATCCTGCTCAACACACAGAACTGCTTGTCTGGAAAGTACAGTCCAACCTCCCCACCCCCACCCATCCCCAGCGCCCACCACCCCAAGTAGTATGTTCCGGGTTGTTCTGGTATCCTGCCAAGCTGAGTTGTGGGAAAAAGTAGAGTAAGCGTGGTGCAGATTTCTCCTAGATTCACTCTGCCCAAGTTGTAGCCCCAGGAAAACTTCCAGGTCACCAGTGGAGACTCAAGAGGACTCTGCGGCTTGTCAAGCAGGAGGGCCTGGAGCGTGTGCGCCACCCACTGCCGCCCTGGGAGGCCGCCCAGCCTGCCCAGGGTCACTGAGCTGCCTGAGCCTCTGCGGGAAACCAGGGAGTGGGACACGGGGCCGACCGGGTTTGGTCAGTCCCACGCTCCGCCCCAGGAACTCGCTCTGGTCGGCGATGTGAGGGTGCGGAGTAAGTACCGGGAAGTTACCCTCATTCCAGTCTCAAAGTACCGCTCCTGAAAGCTGAAGGCAGATTTTTTTTAAGAGATAACAAAGACACTTTGTCACTTTGCGCACTGCCTTGGTGCAAATCTTTAATTGCAAGTGGGGGTGGGGGATCGAGTGTCCTGAGCAACCCAAGCGCGAGTCTCCAGGCGGCAAGGCCCCCTTTGATCAGGAAAATCCAATTATTTGTGTATATACATTTCCCACATAGTGATTACTTCATTAATTGTCCCGCCTTTATCTCCTCCCTTCCCATCCCCCCTAATAATCAGTTCTTTTATCCAGACCAACAAACACACCATAGGAGCTTTGTGGATTCAAAGGATTTGCTTTCGCTTCTGAAAGAGCCGCTATTCTTTGATGATTGGGTAGCGGCAAACTTCAAAGCCATAAATCTTTCCTCTGACTGGCTGGCGGCCCAGCAAAGCCCTTATCAAATTCTTGGAGGTGATCCTGAAGCGCTCAGACCGCGCGCGGGGCGAACAAGCCCGGCGCGGGCGGGGAGGACTCGGAGGCACGCTGGGCAGCCGTTCGTCCTCGCCTTCGGGTGTCCATGCCTCGGCGGCCGCGTCCCGCTCCACAACGAGCGGCCTTCAAGCAGTAGCCATGGCTGCTGTGGCTGTCCTCCGGAACGACTCCCTGCAGGCCTTCCTCCAGGTCAGTGCTGGTCCAGAGAGGGCCCGAGCAAGTGGGAATCTGTAGTCAGCATCTGTGCGGGTACTCTGACTACCTTAAGTCTCAAAAGGACCTCCCATTTAAGGGTGCAACTGGAGTCAGACCTAGGCGCACTGGGGCCAACTTGACAACTATCTCTCTCTCTCTCTCCCTCCCTCCCTCCCTCTCCTCTCTCTCTCTCTCTCTCTCTCTCTCTCTCTCTCTCTCTCTCTCTCTGTGTGTGTGTGTGTGTGTGTGTGTGTGTATGTGTGTGTGTGGTCTATGGGGAGGTATGCACAGATATTGGGGGTTATGTATATGTCAGAGCGGCAGAATACTGGGTCGGAGTTCACCTTGCTGGGCTCTTCCCATGACTTCAGCCTGGATAGGCCAAAGAGTAACCTAAGGGATGCAAGGAAAGAACTTTAAAAATGCTAGCGCGGATGGCCCCACAACCCGGCTATGGGTATTTCCAGGCTCTTCCTGACCAGTCCTGTCCCTCTTCCTCTTTTTTTGAGCCTACCTTAAAGGCCGATTGGCACCTCCTTGAGCCAAGTAGTTTAACGCCTGCGGTTCAAGTAGCACCGACGCTGAAAGTTTCCCGGGACCGCTGGGTGCGCGCATGTGGCGCGGTGAGGTCTGGGGGGAGGGACGGCCTGGCGGAGGAGGGGCAGGGGTATAATAGTGGGGGTGGCGGGCCTGCCCAGAGTCGACGCTTGGAACGCTAACCTTTTGTCTCTTCCGCCCTCCCTCACCGCCGCCCATGCAGGACCGCACCCCCAGCGCCTCCCCGGACCTAGGCAAGCACTCGCCCCTGGCTCTGCTGGCCGCCACCTGTAGCCGAATCGGCCAGCCCGGCGCGGCAGCAGCACCCGACTTCCTGCAGGTGCCCTACGACCCAGCGCTGGGCTCACCTTCCAGGCTTTTCCACCCGTGGACCGCCGACATGCCTGCGCACTCGCCAGGCGCCCTGCCTCCCCCGCACCCTAGCCTGGGGCTGACTCCACAGAAAACACACCTGCAGCCGTCCTTCGGGGCAGCTCACGAGCTCCCGCTCACGCCCCCTGCGGATCCCTCGTACCCTTACGAGTTCTCGCCGGTCAAGATGCTGCCCTCGAGCATGGCAGCTCTGCCTGCCAGCTGCGCGCCCGCCTACGTGCCCTACGCCGCGCAGGCCGCGCTGCCTCCGGGCTACTCCAACCTGCTACCCCCACCGCCACCTCCGCCTCCACCGCCCACCTGCCGCCAGCTGTCCCCCGCCCCGGCCCCGGATGACCTGCCCTGGTGGAGCATCCCGCAATCGGGCACGGGGCCGGGAGGCTCCGGGGTTCCTGGGACCAGTCTCTCCAGCGCCTGTGCCGGGGCTCCCCACGCCCCCCGCTTTCCCGCCTCGGCTGCCGCTGCTGCAGCGGCTGCCGCTGCCCTGCAAAGGGGCCTAGTGTTGGGCCCGTCGGACTTTGCTCAGTATCAGAGCCAGATCGCGGCGCTACTGCAGACCAAGGCCCCCCTGGCGGCCACGGCCAGGAGGTGCCGCCGCTGCCGCTGCCCCAACTGCCAGGCGGCTGGCGGCGCCCCCGAGGCGGAGCCGGGCAAAAAGAAGCAACATGTGTGCCACGTGCCAGGCTGCGGCAAGGTGTACGGCAAGACGTCGCACCTGAAGGCGCACCTGCGCTGGCACACGGGCGAGCGGCCCTTCGTGTGCAACTGGCTCTTCTGCGGCAAGAGCTTCACGCGCTCGGACGAGCTGCAGCGGCACCTGCGGACTCACACGGGCGAGAAGCGCTTCGCCTGTCCCGAGTGTGGCAAGCGCTTCATGCGCAGCGACCATCTCGCTAAGCACGTGAAGACGCACCAAAATAAGAAGCTCAAAGTGGCCGAGGCCGGGGTGAAGCGGGAGAACCCGCGGGACCTATGAGCGCACCCGGGCACTTAAGGCGCCACTCTGCCCAGGACATCCTTCCCCGGACCTGAAGCAGACCATCGAGGCAGCTGACAGAGAGGAAACTTTTTTTAAAATGAACTTTTCATTTGTCCTCCTCCCGCAGGGAAGCTCTGTTGGCCGTCCCTAGAGCAGAGGGCAGGGCAGGGCAGAGCAGGTAGGGCTGGGACATGGTTGAGAACCCTAAGCTACCCCCAAGACGGTTCCAAAGTCCTAGCCATCGCCTGCCTAGAAGACCTATAGTCGGGCCTTGCTGGCCTTGCTAGTGGGAGTCGCTGCTAAAGGAAAATGGAAGGGCCCTGGAAGACTCAACACAGGGCTTGAGTTTTCGCTAGGCCCGATTTGGGCTTTGTACAGGTTATTTAATAATAGCTTTGTTAAAGAGTAATTATAATTATAACGTTAATAAATGTTTCTGTTGTTCTCAGCTCCGCGCAGAGCTACAGCATGGTGTGTTTCTGTAAAGCCATCAGCAGTGGCAGCGTAAAAATAAATACGTTCATTCCAGGGTCTCCCCAGGAAGACCCCCCGCAGAGCTGGTCTCCTCTGATCTTTTCTTCCTGGAGTCCTCACTGAGAGGTCAGGTTTCGCCCGGGATCTGATGGTCCCTGTGTGCTGCTTGTGTGTCTGGCTACTTTGGTTTCTAGGCTTGGGAAAGTGTGTACTGGATGCATGGGCAGGGGCAGGGGCAGGGCAGGTGATTTTCGGGTAAAGAGCCTAAGGCAAGATTTGCCAGTCCCAGTTTAAGTTTCTGTGCAACTCCAAGACTTGATGTGGAGTTAGCTATACGTTTGATACTGGCTGTACATAGAATGAGGCGAATTCCCTGCTGTTTTACAGTTGATACTTTTGGGACCCTGGGAAGGAGCCACTCGTTTTCAGGGCCATCTCCCAGGTGACATTTTTACAGTCAAATGAACTGACAGCTCCTTAGGTGGACTGGGCAGTGCCACGCTAACACCAAAAAGGTAACTGTCACTCTTGCAATGTGCCAGCCTGGCCACATGGAACTTGTTTGCTGGTTCACACAGAACAGCTAGATAGACAGGTAGGCCAGGAAGTTTCATTCTTCTTGTAGCTTGGACTTTCTTTTTTAATCACCTGACCAGACAGATTTTCTCAGGGAAAAGCCAGAATGCTCGCTCATAAGCTAGAAATGTAAGAACAAGGCTTTTTAAAAATACAGGTTTCTCACTTTTCTCTAATTTTTTTTTAAATTTGAAGTCTCTTGTTTTTCAAGTGTCTTAACTCATTTGTATTATAATATTTGGGGCTTTCAACCCCAAAACTTAATAAGCAGTTAAACTCTTTCATTTAGAATCAGCACAACTCAAAACACAATTTAAATTTCATTACTGTTTCAAGTCAATGTCAAAACACAGTGAATGATCTTTTTGTGATAGATTAGTGTGTATGTATTTATAGTAATCCATAGCTAACAAGCTTGCCATGAATTTTTGCTTGAAGTCAAACTAAAGTACAAATTTTCAAAAGCTATCATGGGTTGCTCTTTAATGTTATGTAAATGAAACAGACGTCAACATAATTGAGATGAGAACAACAAAATCATAAGAAATTGTTTTATTATGTAATGTGAGACAAGACAGCAAATGCATGTTCGATCCCTTGACAGTGCATGCCTCAGAGTGCTTGCCCTCTTTAGAGACTTTGCACTGTTCAATAACCTTGAGTGCCAGGCACCCTGGCCCTTCACGTCACAAAAGTGAGCTAAATGTCTAAGGGTGTGGCTGGTTTGCAAGCAATAGCAGTGCAGTTGCTAGACAGTGCAGTTAATGCACTCTTAACCTAAACCTTTTATAATTGATCAGGAATATTGATTTAGACCTAGTACATGTTACATGGATAAGTAGAAAATTTGCATGAAGTTTTCACTCACTTGCTCTTGAGCCATGGCCTGGGATGTACTTCGAAATCAAGAAAGGTTTCTTGGCAGGTGATGGGAACTTTGGTCTCAGGGAATTTGAAGTGGTTATATCATGTGTGTTTAAGAAGAGTAGCTTTGGTTTATAAGAAGAAGAAGAAAGTGGCAGTTTTGAAACACACCTGTGATTACTGACAGGTGCAATCCTTTAGCATTCAAAGAGATGAGAGGAAAACAAATCTTTTTCATGGGGAGAAAAAGCATACCAAACGTACTGAAAATTAAGCATGAGAGATAGTGAAGGTAGTATTCTTAGAACTTTGTAATTAAGGGAAAACTAGGCCAAACATGTGGAATTTGCCAAAGTAAGGTATGTGTAACTTTAAAAACCAAATTAAGCCTTGTGATGACAAAACTAACTTTCTTAGGATTGTGTTCAATAGAGCCTGCCGAATTCAAAAGCAGCCTTTAGCTTAATTTGATACAGGATAATTGTTGATCATTCATCATATTACTGCAGTTCTGTCAACTACTTTAGAAAAAGAATTAATGCCTTTATTGAAGAAGTAGGGAAGCCACAGTGATAATAATATCCAAGTATAGGAAGGCATTCCATGGATATACTGAAAAAATAAGTTAACATAATGTAGAAATGCATTCAAGTTTACAAGCTGTGGGAATTTCAGTTATTGCATGCTTTGTTTTATAAGTCTGCAACCAGAGTGCCATATTAAGGACATTAAAACTTATTTTGGAACACCAGTATGCAAAAACAGTAAGTATGACTTAAGCACAAATTACATTACTTGTAGCAGAAAACTTAATGGAATTAAAATTAAAAGTTTAGAAGCAAATTGTGTAATTATATATTATTTTGAATTGGAGTTTGCCAACCCCAAAAAGCAAATTTAATCTGTCAATCTTTATCAAGGTTTTTATTTTAGACTTCAGTACACAGTTATTTAAAAACTGAAATGGATATGTTAATGATTGTCTCAAATCACACTAGACTAGAATTTGAAGAAGCTGGTTTGGATAGAATGGACATAGAGAATATACTAAATTCCAAATTGGTGATATTTTAAGGTATGCACTTGAAGAATAAGTGAATCATTTCAGTTAAGAGCTTAAAAACAGAGAAATTGAATAATACATAAATTAGCTAACTTAGAATTTTGTGTTTCTGAATTTTAACAATGTGGCTTTCTACTTTTCTCAAGAGAACACTGGGAAGATATTTCTGTAGTTGATCGCTTATTTTTAATGGGTCTGCTAAATGTGCCAAAGAAAATACAAGTGTTACTAACTTCAACTTCAATTTACTAGATTTACTAGAATTAAACTCTTAGGACCATGGTGTGTGTGTATGTGTGTGTGTGTATATGTGTATATACATTTGCCTTAATTCAGTCAAATAAGTAATCTTGCTGAGGGTGCTTCAGTAAAAGCTTGTTTTGATTATGTCATAAAAAGACAGGTTTTTACCCCAGTGTGTGCTGTGCTCTATTCTAATACTGTAGTAATCAGTTTAAAGTGTTGTCTTCAGTGTTGTTATTTGGGTCTGCTGGGAGAATGTGATAGAAGCTGTTATAGAAGTAGCTACACGTTCCTACTCTTTTAAAAGTGTGGCTGGCACTTGTGTATGTGAAACTATAGAATTGCAGAACATTTTTACATACTTTAGCTTATTGCATTACACAACAGAGTCAATTAACAGGTTTTAATTTTTGATGTTATGGAATGAGCTATGTTGAAGATTCAGATTTAAATTTTGATGTCTGCTAAGCAACTATGGTTCAGTACTGTCCCCAATTAACTATCACTACTTTCCTCTTGTTTGCACGACTGAGGGAGGACTTTTAAAAGAATATGAGATCTGGGGCACCTATAAAGTGCTGGTGCTACACACCCTGAATCCAGTAAGAAGGAGGATGAAGCAGAAGGATTGCCTAGTGCTCATGGCCAGTACTGTTACCTAGTGAGTTTGAGGCCAGCCTGAACTACCAAGCAAGAACATAACATGTTGCAACACCCCCTCCAAAACCAGAGAAATGTGTGCTAACACAGTTTGATTAAAGTAGGGGGGAAAGTAAGGAAAATGTCTAGATAGACACATGTTTACCGTGAGATATATTTAAGTTAATATGCCAAAATCACATGCACTATAGTCATAATCTGATCGGTGTAACATCCTATATAGGAATTTTAATTTTTCTCTGGTATTAGTAAGATTTCACATTTTTGCATAAATATCTTTATGTCAATTGTTTTTTAAAGAATGTGATGATACTAGATACAGCAGTGGTTCAATTTCATTTATGAACACTATGCAATAACCTTCATAATGTCCCTGACTGTTGTGAGTAAGTGATATTAGTTCAACAAACATGTAACCCAATAGTTTCGGACCATTACTACTTCCTTGACAATTTCACTGGTTGTTTTACTGTTACAGTGTCTTTTATGTGAAGATGGGCATGTGTATGACATCATATAATTTCATCTGACATTTTAATTCTCTTTCTGTACTATACACTTTTCCTTATCCTTAGCAATTCTCTAAAACAAATCTCGATGGGAAGGTTGCTATCTAATCCATAATTTGGTACACATGCATAGACTTTGGTAGTTTTTAATACATCGTGTAATAACTAAAGTGTGGGTTAGTTTCTATGTAATACAAAAGTCAAAACAGGGAAATCATATCTAGTTCTTAGTTGATATAACATGGAAAATCTACAGCTTTCACATTCTAGAAATTCGATTCAGCCCTATGAAGATGGAGACTGTAAACTAAGAGATGTAAGTTTGATTAAGTATTTTTACTAAACTACATAATAGTCATACTTCTGACATCAAAAATATACTAAAATAGTATAACATCCAATGAGGTGTGTCCGTGCCTTCTGAGTTCTTTAAATGTAAAGTTAAACCATTCTGGCATGCAGGTACCAGTCATGCCTTAGTCGGTACTATCTAAAACTCAACGGAAAACATCTAGACTTCAGCTCTATTTCATCCAATTCCCAAGACAAGCATTAGGCCTACCTCCTCGTTTATGCCTAAGATTGGGAAATGTTCTCATTTTGAACATATTTGGAGACCGTCTAAAAATCTACAGAAAGCTTACTGTTCTTCTTAT